AACATTTATAATGTTGATAAATGTCTCACAGCTTGTAAAATCCACAAATAAAACATCTCAGAAATGGAACTGTAAGCCATAATCAACACATTTTGAGTTTTCTGCGATACGATGCAAATGTGTACTGTTGTATATACAGGTGTAAGATCCCTGCAGTTTGACAGTCTCTGGGATGAACCTCCTCCAACACTCCCCTTTAACACGATCAATAATTAGATTAACACTTAGTTAAAGAAACAGTTATAATACGTGGCATCTGGTGGTCCTTCTTGTAGGCCTGTAAATCCAGTTATGTTTAATTAAATCCGCTTCTCTAGTCCCTATTTCCCCAGAGCAGAAGCGCACCCATAAACGCCCGTCTCCCTCACTCCTGGAGAGTTGGACACTGCAGATTTATGGAGCTGCAGAGTTCTCTGAGTGGAGCCTCCCTCAGGGCTGACTGGCTGCATTTGTATGCCAGGGACCCTTTGCAATGGCACTAAAAACAGCTCATTGGCACGTCCACAATTCCTAAGCTCAAATAAGCGAGACTGAAGTCATTACTGTTCAGGATTTTTGGAGGGAAAGTTTGTCTTATTCTATTAGCTTTAGCTTTGGGTGCTGAGAGGGTGTAATATACAGAGTGTCAAAATGACGAAGAACCTACTAAAACTAATCATTACCTCATGGCAACAGTTTATATTGCAATTTTAAAGTTGTTGGATCGTGATTTTCGGATAATCATCTCTTGGTTCAAACCTCACCTGTTTGCAACAACATTCAGCAAATCTCCTGCAATGTAACAGAGTAAAACTACTTTTCTCAGCTACAATACTTACTCGCAGTGATCGTTTGAATCATTCATATTCTCTTACACCTGAGATGGCTTTTCTTCCCCCCAGCTTTTCTGACTACTGGTAAATTATCTTTCCTAAATTGTGGTGTTGGAATGATTGAACAGCATTACACAGCCATTTTTGTTCAAAGAGAAAAAAATCCACCAATTGCTTGCTTCGATGTGATTTTTGCCATGACATTGCAATATTTCTGGAATAGCCATTATACCAGATCATTTTAGATTAGCTTGCAACTTTCACATAGACTGTATTATAGGAGTGGACTAACCGAGTGCCTTATATGGGCATTGGTTCTGATGGGGTTATCTTTGGAGGAGGACCCGTTACTAACATGGTTGCTAAGGCAAGCTGGAGATTCTCCCCTGTGAATTAAGATATCTGACTGGTCAATCCATATAACTTACATCTGGATTTACAAAAGTAATTTCAAAATACAAACCCCAGGATCATAGAGAGTGCTAAACCATACATTTTATAAGCCCAGAATAGTGAGGTTCCAAAGTTTGAGAAGTTTACTTTTTTCAATGTGACGGTACAGTAACTGAGTAGGTCCCAGAGGGAGTTGGAGCAAAACTTCTATATGCTCTTCCCTATTGGGCTTCATTGAGATAGCGGGTAGGCATAAAAAAGATAATACAAACTGCAAGTATAAATATACAAATGTACATATCTGAAAGGAGTGGGGAGAAATAAATCCCACCCATCTATTATTATACTGAAGCATCATGGCCTGTGTTCTCGGCCCTATCACACCGCACACAACAATGCGCTTTAGCCAGCAGCATTCCCAGGACAGTACAGACTGGGAAAAGGCAGATTGTTTTTGAAAGCTTCTCTCAGTGATGTTTCCCTTTGAATCCAGAATCCCAGATTTGTCACAGAGCCTGGAGTGTGTCCTCTTTTGAGTCATTTGATAGAGAGAGAGAAAGAGAGAGAGAGAGAGAGGTGCTTTCATATGAACAGTGGCTGACAGGTGCGCTTCAGCTCACCCAAAATGTGTTTGGAGGTGGATTTTGTGCCGTCCTCTCCCACTGTTACGGCCCAGATAAAAAGCTCGCTGGCAAATTTGAAAAACGGAAGGCTGTGTGATGTGTTAACTTTGGAAATGTGTCAGGTACATTACTAACCACTCGAAAAAGCTGTCAATAAGTGTGTTTTTTGTGACATACCCCTCCAGTTTTCACGACTGTTAAGAAGCTTCATGACTCGACAAATACCTTAACCATTTTTACACTGCACAACATGTTTTGAATAATTGGGTTTATTTTTTGTTAGTTTAGTTTTAGTTTCTTGTGACTTAATATATTATGCATAATCAAATATGCCGGAGATGGACAGTTGATAACAGTAAATACTTTGAAGTACATTGAGAAAGACTGTGTTCAATTCAATTAATGTTCATAGTCATACAAGTTATACACATCTATTTGTAAAGTTTGTTGGCGTTTTGTAAAAGGGAGCCCCCAGGAAGCTACATTAGCTTATAGGTGGGGCCCCAAAACAATACAAAAACAAAAACAAATGTGACAATTCATAACTTTGTAATCCCAAACCCATTTGCTGTCATGCAATGCTGTCATGCAGTAGACTAATACAGGTTTGTGTTTTGTTTACCAGGCCTTTCTGAGTGGAGTTTGCATGTTCTCCCCGTGTCTGCGTAGGTTTCCTCCGGGTACTCCGGTTTCCCCTACCACTAAAAATATGTCCAATAGTTCTAGCATGCGCCTCCTGTACTGGCGACCCCGCTCCCATCTCTGTGTGGAGTGAGAGACAAATGCCCATAATTAACAATTGTAAACCGCTTTGAGACTCAGATCTGCAGTGAAAAGGCGGTATATAAATAAAAACTTACTTACTTACTTTAGTTCGACCCCTATATTAATATGTGTTTAGGTTTTAAATGATTGAGAATTATGTGGGCTGTGGAACAAGCAAAGCATTTCTTGTATTACGTTAAATTAGGAAGAAGGCAGGCAATTTCTCACTTGGAATGAGACCATTTTTGTACTATGCTTGGAACAACACAAAAGCTACTTGTTCATGTTTTACGTCTCAAAGAAACCAAAATTATGCCTTATTCACGTATAGTCAAGTATATAATGTGTATATTTTCACCTGTTGCCACGACGATGGATGAATGAAAGTATGCATGTATTTGAAATGAGCTTTATCCAACCCTTTTGTTAAAAAACCTTGTCCTTGTTATTTTTCTGTTATGTTGATGTATGTGTTTTGTACATGTCTGAAATGTATAATCTAATCTCTTAAACATTTAAAACCACAAAAAATGTTGTCGGTTCCTTTAATCCGTCAGTCATTTTTGTCGTTTTTCTCTTGCTTATCCTCACTATTACTTGTAGACAGTAAAAAATAGGCTTGTTCACATGCCTTGTCAAAGATTTTCTATTCTTACACTTTCCCCTCTTGAAGCTTTCAACACATCACTTTGCGAGTTTGCGTAACTGAATACTACTTTTTTTTTTTTTCCCAGAATGCAGTTCTAGTAGAATGTATCCTATTATAAATGTGTTACAAGCGCCTGACAGAGTGAAGAAGCATGATGGATTGATCTCCCAGTATCTTATCCTATCAAGTGACCAAAGAGGAGACTCATAGGGCACCATGCAGTCAAGCCCCTGCCATTCGATTGGTCAGGGGTTAATGGGCCAGGCGCCGTGACAACAGACATGGTGGATAATATGTCAGGGTCTGTCTCTGGACTATCTTTGGTCTCCTCTGCCATTGCTTCTGCTTGAGCGTCGCAATGATGGATTTGAAAACAATATGATGGATCCAGATGGAAATGCATGCTCATGTGTGTATTGACCGTCATGGGAGAAGTCACGGTAGCTCCGGTGATAATAGTCACCAATGTCACTCTCTCCTGGAGTTGACATGCTCCTAGTCTGCTCATTCATTACAATGGGAAATCGCTATGTTTAAATGACCCATTACTTTTACCAGCACAAGTGACATCATGTTCCAACCTGTGCACATTGGCGTTACTGTGTAGGTCAATTCAACATACCTGGAGCGATTGTCAAAAGTATTAGTCCGGAACAGTCTTCCTGAAAATGTGAGACTGGCTTCTATTCTGATTGTTCAAATCCAGCTTAGGCACAGTTACTTCTACATGTGCATACAACTGAAGGATTGTATCTTCAATCTTTTTAATGAACCGTGATAATTTATCATTTCAATGCCTTGTATAATTATTTCTATCTTGTTTTATTAAGCACTTTGAGTTGTCTTGTGTAGGAACTGTGTTAAAACGCAAATAAGCGCGCCTTGCCTTGCCTATTGACGCTAACAACAATGAGCTAACCGGGAAGCAGCAGGTAGGAGGAGCTGCCAAAATAACACCTAACAACATACAGATCCCAATGTAGAATCCAACTAAAATCAACTGTGAGTGAGAGTAGGAGCCCAAAACTAGTTTTGTTTTAGTTTGTCTCACAGAATAATGCTACACATAAAAAGTTGAGCTGAGTTTTTCTGGATGTTTTGCATTTAGATTGCGTCCTGTATAAATATTCCGGCCACGTGGCTTTTTGCACATCTCCTCCACACGCTGCTGTTTGCCTAGTGGTGTGAATGAGTGTAGTATGGACGAATGGAAGTCATTTGCTATCAGATTTTCACCATTTCCAAGCTTATTGTAGGAGAAAATAATGTACATATACAACTGTGGGACTAATACAAGTATTATTCATCCATTCACATACTTTCATTTTCAACACAATTAGAGGTATTTAGAAGGTTTTTCCCAAAGAACTGCCCTTTCCACTTTTTGAAAAAATTCTGGTCTTGTTTGACGGATACGGATCACCAGAATGATTGACAATTAGGAGGACCAATAGACTTGATGATCCACCCGGAAGTAGAAAATCCTCCTATATACCTTTAATAAGAAGTGGTATTCAAAAAATGCCACTCTATCTGCCCATGCGAATAGGTCAATCCCCTTGTCAGTGTGGCAGAAGGCAGACGTGCTAGACTTGCCAGGTTGTAAATTTCACTTTTAAAGACATAGTTAAAGCCGCTCTGAGGGAAATTTACGACCAACTTGAACACAGCTAATTCATGTGCAGCTGTCACCCTCTGTCATAAATCCTGTGCTCTGATTGGCTAACGCTGTTGTCCTCTGTGATGTGATTGGCAGAAATGGAGCCCTGGTTCTCACGCTTCAAGGCCGAGGGCACGGTGGATTACTCCCAGCTCACCTTTGACCCCGGACAGAACGAGCTGATTGTCGGAGCACGGTAAGATGAATATAGTATGATAGCAGTTTCTTTCAAACAGCTCTGTCTACTGCTTTCAGAAACTCCCGTCGCTTGTGCAATTCTTGTGACAAAAAGATTATACAAAGTTCATCAATCGGTAAAATAGGCCACACCTGACCACCACCAATATTTTGCATATTCAACAGATTAAATGAAGCGATATGAGTGAACTGTCTTGCATTAGGACAGGTGTCTCCAACCTTTTTCACCAAGAGAGCTACATTCCCAAGACGAAAAATACAGAGAGCTACTCCTTTAAACGGTCCTGGGAAAAAAATGGGTGATATATTGGTAAGAGCGAGCCTGATAGTAGGTATTCGTTATATCAGCAGTAATTATTTATCATCACATATTCATTACCTGAGCACAAAGGTGGCAAGCTACCTGAAAGGAGGGTGTCGAGCTACCTGGAAGGGGGTGGCGAGCTACCTGGTGGCTCCCAAGCTACAGGTTGGAGACCACAGCTGCCCCACTATGGTAACTGGTTGTACTTGTCTCCCATCACAGTGACTTGCTGAGCTTCTGAGATCGGCTGATGTTACTATTTGACTGCGCAAAATACAGTTTGATTAATATTTGTTTGTGTTTTGTTTCTTGCATTTGTTTTCTCCTTGGTTGGTATTTACAATGTCAAAACAATGATTGGTATCTCAAAACCAAAAGCTTTTTTTTCCCGGACAGGTTTTTTGAATCTCCTCTTCTCAACATGGAGTCCAGTCAACTGTGTCTCTCACGTGCAGGACTCTGGTTTCGAGTGGATGCTTTTTCACTCGTCTTTAGCTGTAAGTGCATCCTTCACAGACCGATTGAGAGGTAGAGATGCACACAATGGCTGCTTCCTGTGGAGTGTATTTTCTACTGTTCTTAATAGCTGTGCTGTCAATAGGACGCAACAGTACAAAGTGAACAGGAGATAACAGAGCAGCCAAGGAAGAAGCAGGACCGGAAAATAAACACGAGCGAACCTATAGGGAATCAACTAATGTATTTCCAAGGCTGTGGGAAAAGCATGTTCGAGAACTATTGTCACGACACTGGAATTTCAATACATGGTTTTGGCTCAGGGTAATCTGGTCTTACACTAGTTATAATATGTTTACATCCAGACTATTTCTACATTATTTAGGAATGTTCCCTTTTTGTACCCTGGGATTAGTTAGTTCAGACCTTAAAGGTAACCGAGGCACTGTTTCTACACTAAGGCTTTGTGCTGAAACTAGATGCAGGTCCGATCAATATGAGTTGGATGTGGAAGAAGGACTGTGGACTTAACCACGGTTCATTTTGGAATGGGCAAATCAAAGATAATCAAATGTTTCAAATATATTTGCTCTGTTTCCATGCGCAGCTCTGGGACATTGCACATTGGGGCTGGAGAAGCTATACACTCCCCCCGGATGAGTGCGAGTCCAGGGGCCTGGAGGGTCAGACTCTGGGGACGTGGATCTGTGTTTATGAAGTTAAAGATAGAGTGCACCACTTTGCAGTTAAAATAAATTAATAACTTGATGTTGTGGAAAAGATACATGCTTTGTCTGCAGTCTGTCTCTTTGCTAAAGATCAGTGCTGTTGATTTCTTCATTCGTTGGGCAATCCCAAATGGATCTTTATTTTTGCAATACAGAATTTATTTTTCTGGAGGTCAAAAACAAGCTGTCAGGCCTCTTAGCAGCAAAACGTGCATTTATGAAAGAGATGGTGTTGACCATAGACTGTGAATATTGACTTTCTCATTCTTTTTTCAGAGATTATTATTTTACATTGGACAACAACTGTACGTTTTGTGTTTTTTGAGCATTTTGCAAAACCGGACGAAACGCGAAGTGCGCGTTTTTGGCCACAGTATAGACAAATCCAATAACAGAGCAAAGCCTGTATATGTTGCATTCATGACAACAGAATCCAGGTGGAAGATGAAAGCGAGGCCATCTGTGCGGGTTTGTGCAGGGCTGCAGAGCACAGACACTGAGGTGCTGGTCACACAAGGGAGAGCAAATCCAAGATTCACAGGGCACTGCATTAAGGTGCAGGTACTGTATGTAGGCAATTCACAAACGTACATGAAAAAAGATATGTTTTATGTTGGTTGGTATTTTTACACTGCATTTTGTTGCCTTACTGTTTAGGCAGCAACAGTAAGTGTAGCACCACCTTCTGTTTGGCTCTTTCATTGGTCATAGGAAAGCGTGGGCCAAGTGGGCGGGGCATACACGTCAAACAATGAAAACATGGCATTTTGCACCTTGCCTGGGGACTACGCTTGGAAACTAACTGCATAGATAATACTGGCACATTTACGCAAATGTTTATTTATGTGTACTGCCCCTATTCAAAATAATAATAATAATTAAGCTTATTTTTTGTTTATTTCTAAAAACTAATTTATTTTCAAACCTGTGACAACTAAAAAGGGTAATCTCATCAATGTATGGCATTTGAAGCAATCCGATAATCAAATAGGACATTTAGTTGGATTGTCAGCTGAGATGTGATGGCTCTAGTGTGAAAGTGATTTGATGAGAGTCGTGGGCCGTGTCTGTATGAGTGATAATGGAGCTGAGAGCAATCGATGGAAATATCAATACAGTGGAACAGACAGGCCCACCGCCTATGTGCAATATGATAGAAGTAGTTAAAACAAGAAACAATGTTGAAGCATTTTGAAAGGAAAGTCCTTGACGATTTAAGGAGTAGATGATATTCTAATCCATCTGCAGGACATGAGTTACTTTCAAACTGCTCAAATAATGTTAATGTCATCTAGAAACCCTACCACCTAATGAAAAATAAGTATTCCCTGAAAGAGATGTTCACCATATTTACATGTTGAAAAATTAGACAGAGGCAAGGATCCCACGCACCTGTAACCCTCAGTTTACTTTCAAGTTCTTTCAGAAAGAACAAAAGAAGGCAAAGTTATTTATTTATATTGTAAAGACCTTTGCTATTTCTTGAGATATTAATGAGGCCGATGCTTAAGATATAGATACTTAGAGGTCCAGGGTCCAAAACATGCAGGTCAGATTCCACACATGCAGAAGAGCAAATAAGAAAGTGTATGTGCATCAATCTAGATCTAATTTGAAATCAATGTGGACATTTTTGTTTAAAACTGTCCTCCCCTTTGTTGAGTGGGTGAGATGGGGTTTAGATTTATGTTTGCTTCATCCAACCACTCATCAAAACTGTCTTCTGTTCTGGGCTTTATCAAAGGGTTTCATGATTTTAAAAACACATCATGGCTTTATTGTGTGAACCGAAATGTCCAGACTTCCCCAGACGGTCTAAAGCCTAGTTCACACGGCAGGATAATTAGGCCGATTTTGGACCCGATTTACCCCTACGACAATCGTAAGAACGCTCCGAATATCGTAAAAAAAAAATTGTATGGATTTTCCTGCCGTGTGTGGTGTCTTACGACTGTGCTCGTTGCGTGGAAGGACTTCGGGACTGCTCCGATCTCAAAATCGGGGATATCCAACATGTTGGATTGTTTTGGCCCGATTTCTCTTCGTGTGTGGTGTCCCCGGGGGACAGACGAGCGCGTTGCCATGACTGCGGTGTGTAACCAATCAGAAGACGAGGCGGCGAGGAAACGCTGTAAAAAAACAACTCACCTCCATATCACGATGTAGCAAGTGTAGTCCATGCTCACGTTGTTTACACTTCTTTGACCATCGCCTTTTCTTCTGATTACGTCTTTTCTCTGATAAAAACAAACTGTTGCCACTGCAACCTCTTTGTTCGCCGTGCTTGTTTACTCTGAAGTCACACTTGATCTCGAGAGATTTTGTGAGATTTCCGTCTGACTCGCGAATTCTCGGGGGAGAAATTGGTTCGTGTGTGATGTGTGTGGTTTTGTCGTGTGGCTGCACACACTGTACGACCAAAGAAGTTAGACCCTTGATTTTTTATCTCTGTGTGTGGGTTCTCACACAGAGAAAAAAAATCAGCCGACAATTTTAAAATTGTCTTGTGTGAACCAGGCTTAATTTATAACCCTCACTGACCCTCTTATATGAATGAAATGTGTTTTTAAAGGTTTTCAGGCCGTTTCTGGTATCTTCAGTTTGTAGCACACCCTCACATAGTAGACTTAGTAGATCACTTTCAGGGCAGTGCATTTTTCTTCATTAAAGTGGTTCTCACCCCCGCTCCTCGGAGCTTACGTTACTCACATTTCCTGTTCAAATCTTCCTCTAAATGGGCGTGGCCTGGAGGACTAAAGGGGGCGTGAACGAGACTGGGCCGTTTACATTGCTCTGGGCGGGGGGCTGCTGACGTCAGGTCCAACTTGCACACGTCAGGTCCAACTTCTGTGCCAGTGTTGGCGCCAGATTCAAAATTCAAATGTAGTAATACAGGTCGCCAGCAGATGGCGCCTCACAGACGGTTTTAGGCAGAAAGTCTAACTTTCAACTAATTTGCACCAAAGTGACAAGATTATGACCAGGATATGTAGACAACACTATTGGACACTCATTTATACCGTCTATCAGCAAAAAAAAGTGGATTTGAGGGTGAGTTGTCCTTTAAAGACCTTATGCCGGGTTTAAAAAAAAAAAATTGTGGATATCAAATTGCATGACAATGTCAATCTGAAAGAGATTCGGGATTGCATTGAAAACCATGGATCTATGCCACTGCCTTTTCTCTCTTCTCTCCACTGATGCCCAACACAATACTGCACTCTACAGGTGACAATTGCTCACTACACATAAATTGCCCTTTTGAGAGTGAAAATATGTCTGAGGTGGGATTTGAACCCCAGTATCTGGATTGGCAGGGCATCAACACAACCACTGGACTATCTCAGAGCCATCGAAGAGTTACAATCTACTGTAGTAGTAAGTCGCTGTACACGGCCTTGTCATCTTGAATATCCGCGAAAAAAGAACGAATACCAAATTGTAAACAACTTACCCACTCTGACGTCACCAAGGGCTGTGAAGTTTTTTCGTCTCTAAGGGCGTTGCTATGGGGTTATTTCGATTTGGGGGGATCAGACAAAAAAAACAACAACTGATTTTGAAACCTTTAGTAGTTCTCTTCTAATATAAAATGGTAGTAAAACTGTATTTCTAAATAAATCAAACCCGGCATAAGGTCTTTAATAAGTAATTCCAGCTTGCGCGTTCTGAAAGTAATTGTATATAATCATTGAGTTGCTGACATTTTGATAATAACTATAATGCACTATTTTCTCTGAGGGAAAGTTTATTTGCGAGATGTAGCTAGTGCCACTGACGCTGTTTTGTTTTGTGCCTCATAAATGTGCAGCTTAAGGCAGTTCAGGATAAGGAGCCGCGTCTGCTCCTGGGCTTTGATATCCTCTCATTCTTCTGTTTTCTTATACATCCTCCATCAGCGCCTCCGACAGGTGAAACTACTGCAGATTAGACAAAACCTCTGCCTCTTTAGAGCTTATACTGCATTATAAGTGTGTTCTCAATTCATCTGAGGAGTGTAGGAGGTTTAAATGCTTTTCTGAGCTTCACAGGGGAGGGTGGAAGAGAATTCTCCATTTTTCTGATATAAGATCCAATCGTACAATACAATATCTTCTGAATGATTGTTCAGGTCATTGAAATGTGTATTCTACTGATGAATTACTGTAACTATAAGGAAAAACAACAACTTCAATCAACATTTACTGATATTACTTCTACTATCGGAATCAGAATGTTTTCGTACTGCCATAGTCTGTTTCTTTGGTCTATGGTGAGACACATTGTACTTGTAAAAATACATGTTGTATGTTTGTTTTTTGTTGAATGTGTGCACAAGTTATTACAATAATTGAAATATGTATCTCGGTGTCTGGGTGGGTTTCCTGCGGGCGCTCCGGTCCCCCCCAGCCCTAAGACAATGCAATGTAAATGTTGTATTCCACTGTAGGTTACAGTACTTTTTAAATTGAAAGGCCTCTCAGCAGGTTATTGAGATCTTTGGACTTTTATGATAAAGTCTAATGCAGAGTCTGTGAATGGGAGACTGCAGCTACTGTATATGGTTCCAACGCAAAACGGTTTTGTGTCTTTAGGCAAAACACTTCTTAGATAGCACTATAGCACTCTGGGAAGATGAACAATGGCCTAAAACAAAGTTGACGCATAACTATTATTATTTGTAGTCTCCTATAAAAAAGTTGACATATGGCAAAACATATTCGTTTATTTAACTTTCTACATTGTCTCTACACTTCATAAAAGACAATGCCACGGTTGCCCAGGGGCAGAGAAAAAGACCCATAGCCTGGAGTTTGCACCAAAGACAGCTCCCCAGCCCTTTCTCTTTGTTTTGTTTGTTCACAGGCCTGTGTCTTGTTTTGCAGAAATCACCTGTTCAGACTGAACCTGGAGGACCTGACACTGATCCAGGTGAGTCTGGTCGGGCCTCACACCTCAGAAACCAAACGGCACAAAAACACATCCGTTACAGTCCAGTGCTTTAGTCTCACTTGTCACAACATGTGCCTGCGTTTTCTCTCTCTCTGATTTGGTAAAGCGTTCAAGGTCATCACTGCTTTTGATTATATATGAATCACAGTCTGCGGATTCAGGGATGTTTCATAATCAGTCATGGTATCAAAAAGAATAGTTACCATGAGTTACGTCAAGCGTAGTCTAGCTGCATTGTGTGATTGTATAAATGGAGGAAGGATATAGACCTATTTTATGTTTAGTTTTTTGCCAATTCCGAAGATTTAATAGAGAAACGTGAAAAGCCGGGTGCCAGTATTAAATAAATATAATTTATTTTTCAATCATCACTTGAAGGTTGTGCCAAAAATTGCTAGATCGAAAGATTGCAATCATGTGCCAGTGACAGAGCAGGAGGCTGAAGAGGAAATACACTCACTGATTTGGACATATAACTAAAATCATGCGTTTCTTGAGCTATTTGCACAATTTAAATGTGACATAACATATTCCAAAGGTTACCCACAGCCTATTGTATTGGGAAATGCTTTCTGATGGAACAAATGAATGTGCAAAGTTGTCCTTAATGGAGAACAAAGGGAGAACTCAAAAGCAGGACTGCAAACATATACAAGATTTATTAAACAAAAATAGCAAAATCTAGGTTATCACAGAAATCCAAAATCAAAGCAGAACAGAAACAGAGAAGAAATAACTCAGTGGACCAACACCAAGAGGAGAGGAGCACAGGGTTCCAATATATCAAAATAAAACCACAGATCCAATATATCAAAATAAAACCAGGTCAAAGTAATCAACAAAAGGTCGAGACCAGGAAAAACAACTTTACCAATAAAAATATCCTGTGCTTTGCTCTTGCATCGCCATCTACCTCAAGTAATATGTTGAAGTTCTAAGAGTAAATACAATAATAATTGACAAGCTGTATATTGGTCTGAAAACATTTACATTTACAAAGGTGTACGAATAATTTCAGTTATTCTGACTGTAATTTCGGACACAATTGTGCGACAACAGAACTGACACAATTATGTTATTTCTCACGCTGTCCCTCGCATTGGTCCACATCAGACTTCCCCACCGAGTAAAAACACACTCACAATTACCAGACCCAGCTGCACATCAAGGACTTGTCTCTAGGATGTTCGAGCCAGGATTCTTTGATCGTTGTTGTTTGCCATTTACATTTGTGGGGGAAAAAAAAAACCATTGGAGAAAGCGTATATAGAGCATAACAATGCAGACACTGGAGGGATTGCGTTGATAAAAATCTGACTGGAATCGGAAATGAGTAAAAAGAGGTTGGAATTTGTTGGATAGGACAAAATAAAACACACGAAACAAGAGGATTGGAAAAGCCCAGGGCACCATACACATAGAAAGAAAGCCAGCGATGCCCCCCATGGCGTTAAATGAGGGAACATGCCGCGCTATTCTTCTGGTGGACCCTGACTGGCGTATACACATGCTTTTAAAAGATGTTGAATGTGCGTTCGGAGCGCCCAATCTTCTGTTCTTTTCCCATTCCCGCCTGCTGTATTGCCCCAGAAGCGGGAACAAGAAATTCAGAGCAGCCACAATCAAACGCTCATCTCCAACTTGTCTTCCCCTGTGAGGCCTCTATCATACAGTGGGGGAGCTGGGGGCCAATCCGAGGCAGAGCAGTGTTTTTAAGTCGCCTGCAAGAAAGACCAGAACGACCAACGCTTGTCTACTCAACCTGCTGCGAAGTGGGACGAAGTGGGAAGAGGTTATATTACTTTAATCTAACTTTGATTAAGACTGGAAATGTGTATTGAATGAAAGAAGTTTGATAAGCAGAGTATTTTTACGCATTTGAATGTTAGTGAATACGCAGATTTTCATATTTTGCCTGTTTTTTCTTTACTCTTTGTGGTTGTGTGAAGCCGTTCTTGTTGTTGTTGGGTGAATATTTCAAATATAAGCGTGGTCGATGTTGCTCTTTCGGATCATTTCTGTGTATTTTTTGACATGTGTTTCACTAACAAACCACCAGTGGACTCTGCAACTGTTCGAAGAAGACACATAAATAAAAATACGAGTGAACTATTTATGGGAATGATAAACTTTGAAAATGCATCGTATTCTACTGTAGATGAACTGTTTAACTCTGTCACCTCTAGTGTTTTGAATGTTCTGGATACCGTTGCCCCTGTGAAGGTTAAAATAGTGAAAAATAAGCAGAAGGCGCCGTGGGCTAAAGCAGACTCGGTCAGGGCACAAAAGAGAAAGTGCCGGAGGGCCGAGCGGAAGTGGCGCAAGTCCAACCTCCAGGTTGATTACAAGATCTTCAAAGATAAGTTGTGCGAGTTTAACCGGGTGCTACGTAGTACGAGAGAAAGGTATTTTTCTGAAATGATTGAAGGCTGCAGTAACAATCTGCGTGTTCTGTTTTCAACAGTTAATAGATTAACAAACCCCCCTGTTCAGATGCCATTAGAGCTAACTTCCAAACGTAAATGCAATGAGTTTGCACACTTTTTCAATGACAAGGTTCAAGGCATCAAAAACGCCATTGTCTCCAATCCACAGATAACCATCCAACAGCCAGAAAGGCTCTCTGAGCTAACTTACTTTGCACCTGTAGATGATAAAAATGTCCAAGAAATAATCTCCAGTTTGAGCTCCTCCACATGCAGCCTGGATGTACTACCCACTAGATTTCTGAAGTCTGCTCTGGGCAGTCTGTTACCTTCACTCACACAGATAGTAAACATGTCCCTTCATTCTGGAATATTCCCAAAGGCCCTGAAAACTGCAGTCATCAGGCCCCTGCTAAAAAAGAGCAGCCTGGATGCTACGGTACTTAACAACTATCGTCCCATCTCAAATCTGCCATTTATGGGGAAAGTCCTTGAAAAAGTTGTCTACCTACAGCTTACTAGATTTCTTATAATTAACAACTCATTTGATATGTTTCAGTCCGGCTTTGGACCCCACCACAGCACTGAGACTGCTCTTGTCAAGGTTACAAACGATATCCGGCTGAACACTGACGCAGGCAAAGTCTCAATCTTAATCTTGTTAGATCTGAGTGCTGCCTTTGACACCGTCGACCATGAGATCCTCTTACAGAGACTAGAGGACTGGGTTGGAGTCGCTGGCACCGCCCTAAGTTGGTTTAGGTCTTACCTTGAAGACAGGAAGTACTTTGTGGAGATTGGAGACTGTGTCTCAGATCATATGGCCCTGACCTGTGGAGTACCACAGGGGTCGATCCTGGGACCTCTTTTGTTCAATCTCTACATGGTGCCGTTAGGTCAGTTAATACGCAGAAACAAAGTGTCCTATCACAACTATGCAGACGACACTCAGATCTATGTCTCACTGACTGCAGGAGAACATGGACCAGTGGACTCACTCCTTCACTGTATCCAACAGATCAGTGAGTGGATGCAAAACAACTTCCTTCAGCTAAACGCAGACAAAACTGAAATGATTGTCTTTGGTCCCCAGAAACAAAGAGAGAGCGTCATCTGTCACCTACAGTCTCTCTCCCTAAAACCTTCAAACAAGGTCAGAAATCTAGGGGTAATACTGGACTCAGACTTAAATTTTAATAGCCACATCAAATCAGTAACATCAGCAGCTTTTTACCATCTAAAAAACATTGCCAGGATCAAAAACATAGTGTCTAAAGCAGACCTGGAGATTCTTATCCATGCATTTGTCTCCAGTAGGTTAGACTACTGCAATGGCCTGCTCACAGGTCTGTCCAAACAGGCTGTAAAACAGCTGCAGTACATTCAAAATGCAGCAGCTCGAGTCCTGACTAGAACCAGGAAGTACGACCACATTAGTCCGGTCCTCAGGTCCCTGCACTGGCTTCCTGTGGCTCAGAGAATAGACTTTAAAACAGCTCTGCTTGTGTACAAATCTCTCCATGGCCTCGCACCAAACTATATTAGTGACATGTTAGTCCCATATGAACCAGCCCGGACTCTGAGGAGCACAGGGACTGGACTCCTGTTAGTGCCCAGAGTCAGAACTAAACATGGGGAGGCTGCTTTTCAGATTCATGCTGCTAAAATCTGGAACAGTCTTCCTGAAGATGTGAGACAGGCCTCCTCCCTGACAATGTTTAAGACAAGGTTGAAAACAGTTCTGTTTAGCTGTGCATACAACTGAGGGATTTTATATTTTTATCTTTTTTTTTTAATGTACTGTGATTATTTATGATTTTAATGCTTTCTTGTTCTGTTCAGCACTTTGAATTGCCTTGTGTATGAATTGTGCTATACAAATAAACTTGCCTTGCCTTGCCTTGTTTTTTGTTTCAAACTATAATGACACACAAAACTCCTCCTCTGATCCTGATCAAAAGTCTCCATCTCCTATAGTTCTCGATAGCTTGTGTTTTTCCGTATCATCTTGGACAGCTTGGAGTGTTTTACGGTAGTTGTGGATGAGGTTTTGTCTCCTCTCTGATGGTAAAACTGTCCATTCTTCGTGACAAAAAGCCTCCAGTTCCAGTAAATTAGTGGGCTGCCTTACCGGGCCCTGCACATCTGACATCTCATATCATTTGGAAAAAGATGAGAAGTTCTTGGGACAATAAATGGCGTCACACAACCACTTTTTAAAATCATTTATAACATTTTTTCTTTTTTTCATTTAAGGGGAGAAAAATTCCAGACAATTTTACAAAACCGGAGAATTACATAAAATAAGGAAAATAATAATAATGGAGTAGAAAGAAAATGAAAGAAAAATATATGTATATATTTAAGAATCATTCATAATCTCAAATAAAAAAAGTCTCTGGCTGGGTGTGTAAACCTCCCACCACAAATGCCTAAATACTGCAGCAGATGACAATGGCAAAGACATTATTCTTCATTTTACACATTTCTTTCCTGTCACATGACCTGCTTTGCGTCTTTGAGAGCACCGTGAACGACAAAGGGCACATTGTC